GTAATAAAAAACAATACTGATATCTGATATTTTTTATCAAACGTCTTGAGTTAATAAATTAATAAATAAATTACGCGCCTAAGCCATAGAATGAAAAAATGTGTACAATTCTTTACTGAATAATATTTGTACTTTTAAAATATATATATTAACATATAACAGCGAAGTACGATTTTATATTGTGTCATTATTTTTGGGAGTAAACGAATTCTTTGTTTGACAGCATTTTGTAAGATATTGTATATTGTATATTTTGACATTGTTCGCTTATCTTCTGTCAGCAAATATTTTAAAACGTCTAGAAAATAATTTTAAAGCCATTATTTTTGGCTATTTTTAAACTTTGGGGAAAACCAATGTATATATTCAAGATTTTAAATTACCAACAGTTTTTTTCCAGACGGTACATATTTCCGAAACTGAAATTTGAAAATGTTAGCAGCAGATAATTATGCTTGAATTGAAAATGTTAGCAGATTATGCTTGAAAACAATCATTTTGGGGAAAATAATAAAGCAATCACTGAAGTATTGAAGTATTTTTTACTGTAATAAAATAGAAAACAACTGTTGCGCTCGATAAACAAGATAATGGCAACATGTTAGCAATGTAATATGTACAATATACATGATTTTAAATCACCAGCAGTTTTTTTCCAGGCGAAACATTATTCCGAACTAAAATTTAACAAGAGAGAACGCTATAGTCGGGTGCCCCGACTATCAGATACCCGTTACTCAGGTAAAGGGAGTGCGAGGGAGATGGAGATAGAAACTTTGACCACGCATAACTTTTTAACGAATGGTCCGATTTGAAAAATTTCTTCTACATTTCGATAGGTATTGATAAACACAATAAAACTGCAATTTTACTTTTCCGAAATATTTAAATTTTTAAAATCGTATATAAGCGATTGTGGGCGTTAAAGGGGGCGTGGCACCATTTTGAAACAAACTTGCGCTGCGTAGGAACTTCTAAAATCTACATGCAAAATGCCAATCTTCTAGCTTTTATAGTTTCCGAGATCTCAGCGTTCATACGGACAGACAGACGGACAGACAGACGGACAGACGGACAGACGGACAGACGGACAGACAGACGGACAGACGGACATGGCTAGTTCGACTCGGCTAGTGATCCTGAACAAGAATATATATACTTTATAGGGTCGGAAACGCTTCCTTCTACCTGTTACATACTTTTGCACGAATACAATATACCCTTTTACTCTACGAGTAACGGGTATAAAAATGTTAGCAGATAATTATGCTTGACAACAATCATTTTGGGGAAAATAACCAAACAATCACAGATTAATATATTTTTTGTTTTGGCAATGTCCTATGGGAAATATAAAATCATGGGCGGGCTCTTCCTCAATAATTTGTTGCACACTCTACTGTAATGAAAAAGAAAACAACTGTTGCGCTCGCTAAACAAGATAATGGCATCATGCTAGCACATGAATACTCAGCTCGTTAAATTACTTCTTTTTTACCGCTTTTTCTGTCAACAGAATAATGCCACCGATTGTGGCAAGCCCCAAAATGCCCGTTGGCCGTTGGAAGTTTGCCTGGTTATTGACACATTTGCTTCTATTTTGAATCTATTCTCTATTCTCTACTCCCTTCTCCATTTCGCTATTTTTTTTGTATGCACAGCACGATATTTGGTGAAAGCCGAGCCCGAAAATGTGGGAGGAGTACGAAACCAGACGGAAAGTTCAGACCTACGAAACAGTGGGACAGTATTGCGGTATTGAGTTTAAAACATTTTTCAAATTATTGTTGTTAAACTGTATATTGGTATTATCAGTTTAATTGTTGATTAATGGATCAATCAAAAGTCTCCTACTTACATAAATGTAAAACCTAAGGGGGTTTTATAGAGATAAAAATATTGATTGTTTTTTTGCCTCTTGCCCTAGAAAATCCCCTGAATTATATTAACAGCCAAATGATAGAAAAAAAGACCGGAAATAAAGTTTGAAATAATATGAAAAAAATGATAAGATTATTTCCATAATTCTTCGAAATCACCGAAATAAAGATAAATTTAATTGGGCAGTACTTTGATCCAGCTCCACTGTGACTGGTGCTGCACTCAATGTAAATATGTACGCGATGACTAAATTAACAAAGAGACCTCGCCCAAATGGGTCAACATTGTTCTAAGGCCCCAGCCCCACACATACACCTCCCCCCCCTTTTTTTCGCCACCATAGAACAGCAACTGGTGGCATGAACAGAAATGTTAGAAATTTGTATGTTGCGTTTCATAGTCTCACTTTTGGTCAAGGACAGTTTGTATAGTACTTGGGGCACATATTGAAATGCTGGACACACAAAAGATCAACACACATTAAACTAGTACGCCATTGATTATCTTTAACTGAACAACAGCTAAGGCAATCTTTTTAAAATAATTTATTTTTTGTAAAATCTAAATAAATGCAGATTTATATTCAAATTGAAAGGAATATTTCAATTTGCTTCTAACAAATGCTATTTAATTTCATAACTTTCATATTCCATTATTCCATGTATTATAATTTAATTTAATGAATACGCGTTTGAGTTCCAGTAAGTCTATCAATAAATCTCTGTCCGCTATCACAGTTAAATCGTTAAGCCAGGCCAAAAAGCCAGTGCAATTGCAACACCAATTTAATGCTCAACTAGCCCTGAAAATTATATTGAAATTATAAATGTTTAATACGTACTTTGTACGACTGCTACTATATGGTCAGTGAACAGATTGTCCAGTTCAGCTGATGATGGGTTTTTAATACGTGTTTAAATGGTTCGTTGACTGCCCGTCGAGGGCTGTCAACCGTGCAGGTGCGAGCGAGATGGACACTGAGCGGTACTAGGACACTAAGTAGTAACTCAAATTTCCATCAGCTTCTGCCCATTGCGCAATTACATGTCGCATGTCATCTATTCATAATGCCATTACAGAACCATCTGTATCTGGGGTGAGAGGTTCTGTCCGTCGCCTTCGTCAAGTTTATTGATTTAATTTAAACAGCTTGTAGGGGTTGAGCTAATACACAATTATGGGTTCGAACGGAGACCTTAACTGCTGACAGCCTCATGAACTAAGTGTATTGTCAAAGATATGTTGAAAACTCTTTAACAACATTTTTTTGTATTATCAAAAATACCATTCTATATTCTTTTACAACTTTAATACTGAATTAATAAGTTTTAAAACACTAAACAAGTCACAATTAAAGCTATAATACTGCAGTTATAAAACGTAATCTTCCTTTACTTTACTTAAATCTTTTGTACACTTACAAATTATTGTGCCCTAAAACCAGCTTTTTTACAACTTTGCCATTTTTTAAAAAATAACAAAGTGTATATATAGAAGGCACTTAAATGATATTTAAAAGTTTATTATATTTATTCAACTGTAAGACAATGATAACTGATCGTTTTTCTTTAACCAACAGCAAGTTACACACCCATATTGTGTTGCCATAAAGAAAAGAGATACAAAAACGGAGAAACGTAGATGAAATAAAAGCATAAATCGGTTTAATCTGAGGAATCAGCCTGAGGCAAGGCCAGATAGTCGAAATATTTTAATTGCATGCCTTTTATTTGCTCGCCAAGCTGAAAGCGAAATTAGTGTCAGAGGTTCGTTCACCGATCGATTCTCGGATGCAATTCACTTTAATTCAAATTGACTACAAAAAAAATCCCACACTGCGAAAATAGGCTACCACTTGTCACGATTCAGCGATGTTCTCAAGAAATTTCAATTGATTTGCCTCTTGCTAAAAAGCGCGAATTCTTATTTCCCCCATATTCAGAGAGCCATAAATTAGAATAAGAAATAATATAGAATCTGACCGAAGCGAAAACAAAAGAGAAGACAGCGTTGATGACGACGATCAACGCTTGATTCTTGTTTTTTTTTTTTTTATTCATGATTTTTAGTTTTTTTTTTCCGCTGTCGCCGAGCTAGTGAGATGTTGGTTTTGCTGCCTGACGATTTTAATGATTAGTCCACAGATTTTGTTTTCTATTTAGTGCCGGAGGCTAGAAACAGAGATTGTGGGTCAGTGGAATCAAACAGAAACAAAAGCGTAGCAGAGCAAAAAACTAGACACGTAGAAGAGCATAAAATATTTATATGTGTAGGAGACTGAGATTGGCAAATTTTTAATGGAATTTATGGGACGTTAGGGAAAAGTGATTTGTACTATCTATGTATTTATATATATATATTTTTTATTCAGACCAATTCCAACATACTTTCTGAGTTTTCAATTCATAAATAGTTTTTTATGAAGCGCGACATAATAACAATATTTTCAACACTTAAACCTCATATTAAAATTTAAGATTGGAAACTTTAACATTTAGGTAATTTCCCAGATATTCACTCATTTTGCTTATTAAACGCATAAACCCTGTTCCTAAAATCTCTTCATCGAGTTGACAAACATAAAAAGCTTTCGGGGCGACATTCTTTGCATTGGTTCGGCGTCTCCATAGACAATTAGTCGGTGCTGATTGTCGCGAAAGTTAACTAAGGGGACCACGATGTCGCGGAATGCTGATAATTGCCCACGTTGCAGAGTAGCAAAAAAAAAATAATATAAAGAGGTTGAGAAATGAAATAAATAAATGACAATTAGCGCAATGAAACAAAGCAAAGCGGAAATGTGGAAAGCAGAGGGATAACACCTCAGTGGGAGGTCAATATTTGGCGGAATTAAAATGATTTATTCCCAAGATTGCTACTTGTTATAAACCCAAGATAATTAAAACAGAGATTTGCAGGTCTTATGTTAATAAGATCAGATGTGAATTCCCAAATCACACTTAAGTACAATTTAGCAGTTCAAAATGGGATGTCAATCCATACAATAATAATATTGATCCGTTTTTATATGTTGTATGTTTTGTTGTATCATAACTGGTGGACTTATAGATAAACCGGTCATTCTGTGTATTTGGGGCTATAGAGTGCGAACCACTTACCTCTTTGATCTTCTGACGTCGCTCCTCCAGCGTGGCATCCAGTGTGTCCGGTGCCTGATCATTTCCGCCGCCTCCCAATGGCAATTGAGGTTGATTGTGCTGGGCGGAACTCTGTGGTTGGGAGGCCTGACTGTCGCCGTTGTCTCCCTGAACTGGAGCGGCCAAAACGGGAATGGCGGCGTGCTGACCCTCGTCGCCGGCGCCCCGCTGCTGATCCTCCTGCTGATCCGCTAGAGCGGCCACGGGAGCGGGAGCCTGAGCCTGTTGGGCCATCGCCTGCCCTGCTCCGCCGCCACCCGCCGCTCCAGACTCTGCGCCCCCGGCTGCCGGTGGTTCATCCAGGATTTCACCCAATTCCGCACGGATCTTTCGCTCCAAACGCTGGCGATCGCCAATGAAATGTGGATCCTCGTTGCGATGGGGGGCGTGGCCGGCGAGGGGCGGAGCGGGAATGAAGATCTCGGGTCCGGCCTTCTGGAAGTGCTTGTAGACGCGCAGAACGCGATCGCTGCCGAAGTTATCCGGCAGCAGGAAGATGCCGCCGAAGCAGAGGAAGCACAGCGTTACAAGGACGAGTCCAATCAGACATTTCTCGCGCGAGTGGAAGTTTGATTTCCGTCCAATTGGACTGATGCGGTACATGGTGGATTTAGTTGGCGTTATCGTGGCGTATGTTTTAATTCTATTCGACTGATTGATTGTTTTTTTATTGTTTCACTTAAGTCTTTGAGTGCATTTAACGTTTGGGGTTTTCTGGTTTTACAGGAGTCTTGATTTTGTTTTGGTTTTTTTTTTGCGGGAGACTTTTAATTTATTTTTATATCTGGTGAAGTTGATGCTGTTAATTTAATAAGGAAAATGGTGTTAGTGAAAATTGTTTCTAACGAGATTGATTTATTATTGTTTTTGAGGGACTTTCATTTTATTTATTTGTATTTAAAGAAATCTAAGTATTAATTTGGAGTTTAATAAAAAGGGGCGTTTGTTTCTAACTTGTTTTAGTTCAAAATTAAATTTTTTTTTTAATTTTGTGGATTTATGTTTGTTTCTTTTATTTGATTTTTCTTTTTTTAATCAGGATTGTTTTTTTGTTTAGGTATCCTTTTAAAAGGAATATAATTTATTTAATAGGAGGAACTCAGCAGTTTTTTTTGCGTTTTGCCGGCTCTCTCTCTTTCTCTCGGTCGCCTTTCTCTCCCGCTCTGCCTCTCTTTTGGGGCTTTCTCAATGGTGCATTGTTATTGTTATTATTGGCTATTTTCGGTTGTTTTCACATACACACGCCTAAAAAAGGAACAAAAACACAGACAAATAAGAAAGCCAACAAAAATAAAGGTAATTCGACGCGATGTCGTGGCAAATGAAGAAGAGCGGGAACACACACACACAAGCACAACGTGGCAAACAACCGACAACCGTTTATGCGTGATTTTGCATTACAATTTCTCATTTTGAATTTTAATGTACTCTCCTAATTTGCACAAAATACACTGACATTACAGGCTAAACAATCATTTTGAAATTTATGAAGAGGATTTGGAATAAATTCGTTTTACACTTTTTTCGTTATTTATAATAATTTAATCATTATCAAAATTGTAAATATTTTGTTAAGTAATTTTAAATTTATTTTTAGATTTCACAACTTGTAAAGATTTGATTAAAAAAAACGTATCAAAATTGGTTAAAGCTCCAAAAAAAATCTGAAAGACATATTGATAAAACACTTTCCTAAAATTTATTGATTTTTATCTATATTTAGATGTCCTTAAAAAATTTTGTACAAACGAATAATTTTCAATTTTTTTAATGATTTCGTAGAATACTTATATATGCATTAGAACTGATTTCGTAGAATACTAATGTATGTATGTATTTTTCTGTTCGACAAGGATTTTTGTTTTGAGTTATCTCTTTTAAATTATTATTACCATATTTATTTATTTAAAGCACCTCATTAATAGTTTTATTGTAGACGTTTTTAAGCCATAAACTCTCAGTACTTAAATTTGTTAATAATTTGAATTATTCGCACTTTTTAAGGTGTATTTGTGTTTATTATCACTTTTGTGATTTGGAATAAATAACGATTTCGTTGCTATGCATAAACTGAAGGCCAAGAAGAGAGGGGCGAGAGGGAGGGAGAGAACACGCAATATTTTGCAAAAAAAAAACGGGCTGACAACAATAACATTTATTACGGAATACCGTTAGTTGGCCAAACAACCGTACGAAAAAAAAACACAGAAACAAAAAGCAAAAAAAAAGTATGGAGAAAAAAGAAACACAGCTGATGGAGGAGAATGGGAGAAAGGAGATAAAAGAGAGAGGAAGCTGAAAAAGGGATGAATCTTTTGATTTTGATTTTCGTCTCCCGTCTCCTTTACTCCCTTCACCACTCTTCCAGCCAACTCGCTCGCACCATCGCCGCTTCTTCCTGGTGTTTTTGTTGTTTTCCTCCAAGGAGGAGTTGTGTGCGAGCAAGAGGGGCGATGTTTGAGGGGACACCAGTGTTTCACCTGCCACAATTTATATCTTTACACAAACCGCACGTCGATTTGCAGCTTAGCCGTCAAACCATCGGGGCGTTTTAGACAATCGCGTTTGGTTCTATGAATTTACACTTTTTTGAGTTTGGAGACGACTAAATAAACAGCTTGGAGGCGCTTAGAGGTGGAAAATCTTCGATGCTAACGTCGATGATATCGAATAATAAATTATTATTACCATATTTATTTATTTAAAGCACCTCATTAATAGTTTTATTGTAGACGTTTTTAAGCCATAAACTCTCAGTACTTAAATTTGTTAATAATTTGAATTATTCGCACTTTTTAAGGTGTATTTGTGTTTATTATCACTTTTGTGATTTGGAATAAATAACGATTTCGTTGCTATGCATAAACTGCAGGCCAAGAAGAGAGGGGCGAGAGGGAGGGAGAGAACACGCAATATTTTGCAAAAAAAAAAACGGGCTGACAACAATAACATTTATTACGGAATACCGTTAGTTGGCCAAACAACCGTACGAAAAAAAAACACAGAAACAAAAAGCAAAAAAAAAGTATGGAGAAAAAAGAAACACAGCTGATGGAGGAGAATGGGAGAAAGGAGATAAAAGAGAGAGGAAGCTGAAAAAGGGATGAATCTTTTGATTTTGATTTTCGTCTCCCGTCTCCTTTACTCCCTTCACCACTCTTCCAGCCAACTCGCTCGCACCATCGCCGCTTCTTCCTGGTGTTTTTGTTGTTTTCCTCCAAGGAGGAGTTGTGTGCGAGCAAGAGGGGCGATGTTTGAGGGGACACCAGTGTTTCACCTGCCACAATTTATATCTTTACACAAACCGCACGTCGATTTGCAGCTTAGCCGTCAAACCATCGGGGCGTTTTAGACAATCGCGTTTGGTTCTATGAATTTACACTTTTTTGAGTTTGGAGACGACTAAATAAACAGCTTGGAGGCGCTTAGAGGTGGAAAATCTTCGATGCTAACGTCGATGATATCGATATTTTGAAAACATCGGTAGAATCGATGTTCGGGAGCTATCATCAATGTTTTTCCATCTCTAACGAGTCAGACTTACTTCGAAAACTGGTCACACCAAGAAATACTCCGGTTCTTACACACTGTTAAGCCCAAAAAAATGCTCTGCAGAATAAAAATTATGGAAATTTAAGAAAAACACATATATATGTTTATTTATCTAGGATTTTAGAGTTTCCTAAGCATATCTAGGCTCCCACAAAAACTCCATTAGTGGTGGAGAAAACTCAATGCCAATGCTTTGTTCCATTGTTTTTTAGTCGTTGTTTCTCAGCCACTTTCTCTTCCACGTAAAACTGGTCACACTACACGGGGCTGAAAACCAGTGCTGCCGGATCATTGGACCGGCACTCACTTTCACCTTCTCTTTTCGCCTTTCTCCGATTTTTTATCTCGCAAATTGTATAGCATTTTCACAAAGTACCTTAAAAATTCAGCGAATCTTTTTTTAAGTTACACATTGTACAGCATAAGAATATTCGTAGCGGGATAAAATAATTTAATAAAATCGCAAAATTATGATTCAAGTATTACATATGTCAACTGGAGTTGCAATTGATTATTAATTATAAATTCATTTTAAATGTTTTTTTTTTTATTTTTGTTCTTCTAATTTTTTGACTTTTTAAAAATATTTAAAAAAATGTAATTAAGCCAGAACGTAAATCGGTGTTGGTCAATTCGCCTATCGCTGCCTATCGATAACCGGTATTCGGCTGCATTGTTGTGTTGTGTTTATTTCACAATTTACGCAGATTTTTCCCCGAAAACCCTTCTAAAAGGATGCCCAAGGAGAAGTCCAAGTCCCGCCGTCGCAGCCGCAGCCGCAGCCGTGACCCGAAGGGGAGCAGGAACGGTAACCGGGATCGGGAGCGGGAGCGGGAGCGTGATCGCAGGGACAACAGCAACAAGGACAAGGAACGCGATCGTAGGCGGGAAAACGACAGGAGCAGGGACAAAAAGCGGGAGCACAAGGGCCGGAAACATAGGTCCCCGTCCTCCAGCTCCTCCTCGTCCAGTTCATCCTCCAGTTCGGCGCCCGGTGGCCCCCGTTCGCCGCTGGCCAAGAGCTCGATGAAACTGCTGCAGACCCTAGAAGCCCGTCGCCTCGTAGAGCAAAAGGATCGCCAGCGGAAGAAGGACGAACTGAAGGCCCAGGAAACGCCCGAGGAGAAGCGCGCCCGTCGCCTGCGCGAGAAACAGGCCAAGGAGCAGCGGCGTCGCGAGCGGATGGGCTGGGACAACGAATACCAGACGTACTCCAACGAGGACAACCCCTTCGGCGACTCCAATCTCACCTCCACGTTCCACTGGGGCAAGAAACTAGAGGTGGAGGGCCTGTCCAATCTCTCGACCAAGACAGTAGAGGTACTTTCGCTCCAGAAGCAGCTGGAAAACCGCAGGGAACTGGAGAAGGTCAAGAAACGGCGGCAGGAAAGGGAGCTGGAGCGGCAGGTGCGCGAGGACGATCTCATGATGCAACAGCGCGCCAAGGAGGCGGTGCAGTTTCGCGAGTGGCAGCGCCAGGAGGACCAATTCCACCTGGAACAGGCTCGACTGCGCAGCGAAATCCGCATTCGGGATGGCCGGGCCAAGCCCATCGATCTCTTGGCCCAATATGTGGCCGCCGGGAATGCCCCGCTGGAGGAATCGCTCGAGATGCAGATGCACGAGCCCTATGTCCTGCTAAATGGCCTGCCCATGGAAGAGCTGGAGGATCTACTGGTCGACATAAAGGTTTACGAAGAGCTGGAGCAGGGCAAGCATATAGATTTCTGGAACGACATGATCACCATTGTGCAGGACGAACTGCAGCGGCAGCAGAAGCTGCAGGTGGAGAGCAGCTCGCTCAATCAGCGCCGGGATGGCATCCACCAGGCGGTGGTCAAGGATGTGGCGGACATTTTCAGGGGCAAGAACGCCCAGCAGCTCGAGGAGATGCGGCAGCGCATCGAGGCGAAGATCAGTGGACGAGCGGATGGCGTGGACATCAGCTACTGGGAGAGTTTGCTATCGCAACTCAAAGCTCACATGGCCAGGGCTCGTCTTCGGGATCGTCATCAGGCCTTGTTGCGGGAGAAACTGTTGCTGCTGAAGCGAGAAAACGACGATGAGACGGCGCAGGAGGAGATGCCTCCACCGATCAAAGAAGAGGAGATGGAAACCCAGGACACAGAGGATCCCGCAGATGGCGAGGGCCCGCCCGAAGACGAAGAGGATCCCCTCAAGGAACTGCGCGATGCAGTGCGTCTTTACCAGGCAGGAAACTACAGTCCGCGCTACATACGCGAAGAGGATTTCACCGGCAGACGGATGCAAAATGAAGACGACGAGGAGGCGGAAGCAGAAGGTGCCCTCTACGAAGAGGAGGACGATGAGCGGCGGACGCAAAGGCAGCGTCTGCTCATCCTGCACCCGGAACGCGTGGACACCAATCAGCTGACGCCGCAGGAGCTGCGCATGCGCAACGAGGCGAGACAGGGAATGCAGGGCGACGAGGCCGAGTTCAGTGTGGAGACCACTTTGGATGCAGTGCCCCAGCTGGCCACCGACAAGTACCGGCCGAGGAAGCCGCGCTACTTCAATCGCGTACACACAGGCTTCGAGTGGAACAAGTACAACCAGACGCATTACGACATGGACAATCCCCCGCCCAAGATCGTCCAGGGCTACAAGTTCAACATATTCTATCCGGACCTCATGGACAAGTCGCAGACGCCGCAGTACTTCCTCACTCCTTGTGCCGACAACGGGGACTTTGCCGTGCTGCGCTTCCACACGGGACCGCCGTACGAGGACATCGCCTTCAAGATCGTCAACCGGGAGTGGGAGTTCAGCTACAAGCGGGGATTCCGCTGCCAGTTCCACAACAACATCTTCCAGCTGTGGTTCCACTTCAAGCGATATCGCTACAGGCGGTGAAGGACCGGCATACACCTCATTCTCCCTGATACTTATTTTTTCGTAGCCTTATATTATGTCCAAATAAAATGTAAGAAGAAAAATTTTAGAAAACAATTTTTTTTATTTGAATAAAGAATTAAGAAAACCTATATGTGTCATTATAATTCTCCACTACTATCACATGATCCTACCATTTAAAATATATTTATTTCCATGCCTTCTTTGCATGTATTAAGGTATGTTTAATTTATCAGATGTTAGATTTTAAAATTACCTCATACATTTATTCCAAGAAAACGTAATCTATTATTCTACCATATAATTTTTGAGAACATAGTTTGGATCAAAATATAATAACTAATGCTATTAAGAAAGACCTTGAAATATTAACAAAAACTTAAGAAATAATAACCGTTTTGGTGATCCTCTAGATCCTTGTTTTAAGATTCTCCTTTGGTCTTTAGTTTATGTCCAATGATTCCTACTTGAAAAGGCCTCTCGAAATTCCCTTCTTATGGCTTCCATATTTGTTTTAACATCGTGTGATCTTTAGCAACCTTATTTGTAACATATATTAATAAACTTATGATATAAATCAGGGCCTTCACATCAGGTTGCAGTCCTTGATGGGTTGTTCCAGGACCTTTTCCACGGCTTCTCCACGCTCCGCCTTTTGAACTTGGGCCAGGACACTGGCATGCTGAGGAAATGCCAGGCAGGAGAGTTTCGAGTGGACCAGCTGCCCGTCGATGGCCACCTCGAAGGATCCTCGACGTCCTTGGCGGCAGGATATGTCCAAATCGGGCGACGAGGCCAGCAGGAATTCGCGCAGCAGGTGGCACTGGCCGCTGAAGTTGCAAACGCCGCTAGAATATAATAAAATACTATAATTTAATACAGTTTTAACAGTTAAGAGTTATTCCTCTTACCAGTATTCCACCTCCACCTTCACCATTACATAAATATAATCAAAACAAAAATAAAAGTAGCGCTTCACCAACAGCTGTCACAAAATTATCGTTATCGCTTATCGGTACACTGCAAAACTATTTATTTAATTCAAAATCCTTCAACAAAAGTTATGGTCTTAAAGTGCAGGCTTCTGGTCACTTTTTTGCAAACCCATTTTTTGAGATGACGAAAAATCGACCAAAAAATACAAATCAAACTGAAAACTTTACCAAATTTAAACCGATTTCAAAGTGGCATACCTCTAAAGCCTTGTGATTGGATCCTCTAAAAATCTGCATTCAAATTTTTCAAATTAACGTTGATCACATTTTTGATCCATTTTCATGTGAGTTATTTCTAATTTTCCGATGTCTTATTTAACATTGACCCAAAATTGGACTTCGAGGGTCCATAACTTTTCCAATTTTAAACCGATTTCAAAGTGGCATACCTCTAAAGACTTGTGATTGGATCCTCTAAAAATCTGCATTAAAATTTTTCAAATTAACGTTGATCACATTTTTGACCCATTTTCATGTTGGTTATTTCTAATTTTCCGATGTCTTATTTAACAATGACCCAAAATTGGACTTCGAGGGTCCATAACTTTTCCAATTTTAAACCGATTTCAAAGTGGCATACCTCTAAAGACTTGTGATTCGATCCTCTAAAAATCTGCATTCAAAATTTTCAAATTAACGTTGATCACATTTTTGACCCATTTTCATGTTGGTTATTTCTAATTTTCCGATGTCTTATTTAACATTGACCCAAAATTGGACTTCGAGGGTCCATAACTTTTCCAATTTTAAACCGATTTCAAAGTGGCATACCTCTAAAGACTTGTGATTGTATCCTCTAAAAATCTGGATTCAAATTTTTCAAATTAAGGTTGATCACATTTTTGACCCATTTTCATGTTGGTTATTTCTAATTTTCCGATGTCTTATTTAACAATGACACAAAATTGGATTTCCAGGGTCCATAACTTTTCCAATTTTAAACCGATTTCAAAGTGGCATACCTCTAAAGACTTGTGATTCGATACTCTAAAAATCTGGATTCAAATTTTTCAAATTAACGTTGATCACATTTTTGACCCATTTTCATGTTAGTTATTTCTAATTTTCCGATGTCTTATTTAACAATGACACAAAATTGGATTTCCAGGGTCCATAACTTTTCCAATTTTAAACCGATTTCAAAGTGGCATACCTCTAAAGACTTGTGATTCGATACTCTAAAAATCTGGATTCAAATTTTTCAAATTAACGTTGATCACATTTTTGACCCATTTTCATGTTAGTTATTTCTAATTTTCCGATGTCTTATTTAACAATGACCCAAAATTGGACTTAGAGGGTCCATAACTTTTCCAATTTTAAACCGATTTCAATGTGGCATACCTCTAAAGACTTGTGATTCGATCCTCTAAAAATCTGCATTCAAATTTTTCAAATTAACGTTGATCACATTTTTGACCCATTTTCATGTTAGTTATTTCTAATTTTCCGAAGTCTTATTTAACATTGACTCAAAATTGGACTTCGAGGGTCCATAACTTTTCCAATTTTAAGCCGATTTCAAAGTGGCATACCTCTAAAGACTTGTGATTCGATCCTCTAAAAATCTGCATTCAAATTTGATCACATTTTTGACCCATTTTCGAAAATTTGGGAAGCGGTTACATTGTTGAAAATGACTAAAAATCGATCAAAAATAAAATTTAAAGTAAGAATACAGATTTTTAGAGAATTAAGCCACAATCATTTTGAGATATGCCACTTTGAATTCGGATGTCTGTAAGAAAAGTTATGGACTTAGAAGTGCAACAAAAAGGTCACTTTTCTGCAAACCCATTTTTTGAAAATTTCGAAAGTACCCCTTACTTTATAGGGCTCGGAAATTAACGCTTCACTGCTTTGAAAACCTTTGACTGGAATTATAATACTCTCTGCAAGAGTACAATAAAAGTTGAAAGTCAAATCCTGTTAATTTACTTTTTTGAATAAAAGAAGAAACTTAAATTATTAATTAAAAACCGAAATATTTAACTTTTCAAGTTTACTTTTCAAAACTATAAAGAATTTTGTATCTTAAAAAAAAAGTCTTATATCTTCCAATTACATTTTTTTTAGACCTTAATGCTTTTCATTTTATTTTAAATACATTCCAAGGATTTAAGAATTTTGTATGCGATTCTGGCATGAAACTATTAAGAATGTGTGTTGAAATCCCTTATCATTAACCCTTGCTGGCCCTGGCTCTTAGCAGAGTTTTGCAGGCGGCCGTGTGAGTTTTCAGTGGGAGTTCGTCTGAAAAAAAAGGCGGATTAATTCAGAAACTTAAAAAAAAAATTACAATAGCTTACATATTTTGTGATCGCCTTGAACGGGCAGTAGTAAATTAAGCTGCTCTGGCTTGGTGCACACAAAAACGTAGGGACTCTCCGATTCGCCGTTGGGATATGCATCCCGGTACTCCTCTTGCGGCAGACAACTGTCCACGTGAACGCATCCCAACAGACTGCTGGTGGGATAATGACTGGGAAATTTGATGTCGGGATCTGGAAATTAAATGACAAGTATTGCTTGAAGTGAAGTATTAAAACAATGCGTACTTCCCAACTTACCACCGTAGAGCATCTTATAAAAGCCCTCCATTTGGGCAATATCTTCGGCGTGCGGCTCCTTGGAAGTGGAAGCGATCCACAATCTACCACGGTGTTCACTGTACCACACTCGTCCCTCATGTCTGTTGGATAAGGTTATACAAAATTAATACAAAATCTGGGAAATCAACTTTACAGGCACTTACTTTTTAATGCCTGCCACAAGCATCGAAGCCCAGGGCTGGTGCATCGACAGGCACTGGCGCATGTCCTGCATTTCGAGAAGCTCCTTGTCCTGCACCCTATTGTAGATCCTCTCCAGCCCATCACTGGCCGCTGCCGGAGCAGGCCAGCTTTTGGCCTCCTTGCTGGGCTTGTAGACCGGCGGCTTGGCCATGTCCAAGTTGGGTGCGAGTGCCATGGCAGAGTGTCCTGTGATCGAGGATGCATTCCAGTTGGATGCGCCACCCGAGGATTTGGTAACCGCCGCCAGTTCGCTGATCACCTGCTGTTCATACTCCTTGGAGATGGTGGACTCCTCCGGCAACTCCCGGCCAGCGAAGTCCACGCGAATTTTGCGCTTCAGGCGACTGCCGTGCTTCATCTCCTGCATCTCACTCTTCAGCTTCTCAAACTTCTCGCGCTCCACCTCGCTTAGCCACACAGAGTTCTCCTAAAATGTAAATCACATATTGGAGATATATTATTACATATGTATATAAGATATATTTAACAATTTGGAAGTAAATCCTGTACAAATATTTAGGGTAGGTGATAAGAATGATAAAAATGTCTTAAATTGGTTTGAAAACAATTTTAGAATATCAAAGTTATAGTGATTTCCAAGGGAAACACCCACCTGGAAATAGTCAAGCTCGTCGTCGATGACCGTGGTTCTCTTCTCGCTGTTCTTATCGTACTCCAGCAGACGATCCCTTTGGGCCAGGGCCTTGTCCAGCGCCTCCTTGGAGGATTCTTTGGAGGACTCTTTGGATGACTTTTTGCCCTGTTTTTGTGTTGTTTTCGTGCCAGACTTCTCCCTGGCCGCTTTGGCCAGCTGCTGCTCCTCCTCGGGCGTGTGGACGGGATCGCCGCAGCACAGGCAAGGACCGCTGCCCTCCTGTTCGCAGACGATCCTGCCGCAGCCCAGGCAATTGTTGATCAGCTTGTGCTGCGCCGCCTGGCAGTCGCAGTGCCTCCGGCCTTTCAGCAATATGGTGTCTCCCTGAACGCGGCCATCGCTGGCATATAGATTCACGTACTTTCCCGACTTTCCTTTGGCCCCTTGACCCTGATTTGGATTTGAACCCTTGGGCGGCGATGTGGGCGGCAATTGTTTGGTGGGCGTGCGACTTTTGCCATTGTTTCGCGGCTGTTTGCCGCTCAATAACATCCTGCGGCAATTCAGCAGGAACATACGATGTTCCTCGTTGTCCTCGCTTAGTAAATTGCCAAAATAACTATCGAATTCATAGTCATCTTTGATGTTCAGTATGGTTCTGCAAGAGATTTGTCATTGAGAAACGAAACGCATTTATCTGTTAATATCTTATACGTACGACATCATCTGATCCGTGACCACACAGTCCAGACATTTGGACAGCGTATCCCGCACGAATTTCTCCATTTTTCACTAAATAAATCACAATTGTGAAATTACAGGAAAAAACTTTTAAAATCAACGCAGGCAAAAAAAACAGCTGGGAGTGTTGACTAATTCCGAAATGTGAAAATTACTATTGCGCTTTTTTTGACTTACAGAAAAGTACTTTTCAAATTAAAATTTAAATAAATAAATATTTGAGATCGTAATTTTTTACTAAAATTTATTATAATAATATTGTTTTATCAGGCTGCCCGATTTAACAGTTGTTTAACAATATCACATTACTCGTTAGCCAGCACTATTTAGAACATATGTTTGATATAAACCAACAAATAAGCAAGTGACTCGTGAATACCCTAAGATATTTAAATTTGATAAAAGATTTAAATCAATTATATACCAGAATAAAAAAAAAGTTGAAATATGCATAAAACATTCAAGCTGAGGTTTATGAGGATATACATGAATAATAATACAGAAATATATAAAAAATGTAACGAGAGATAACATATGCTTCGGCCAAATGAATATGATAGCTAATGTATACTATCAAATGTTTTTTCTCCGGAAAGAGCATGGCACAACAAATGCGGCGATTAATTGCAGGCCGGTCTGTCTGGTCGCAAATAAATAAAACCCGATTCCCACCCAACTCGAACAGTTCCCAAGATGTCGCCATATCGCCCGGAATTCTCCCCATCGGAGCAGTCGAAAATCGACGTGGAATTCTCTAGATTGGCCAGTAAGTGGGAAATCATGGTGAAATACATGCCGTAAATAGATAACAAAATTAACTATTTGATAGACAACAAAAGTGTTTACCTGGATCATGCTGGTACTACTCTATATGCGGAAAACCAGGTAAAAGCCGCCGCGGAGCAACTGCATCGGAATGTCATCTGCAACCCGCACACATGTCGCCTCACCGGAGATTTCGTGGACCAGGTGCGATTTAAGTGAGTTCAACCATGTCCAAAAAGCACGGAATATTATTATTAAAAATAATACTCCACTGTCATTGGGCTGCCCTTGTGGAGTCTTACAAAAGATATAGATTATGGCTCAACAAAAATTAATGGGAAATCATTGTAAACAAGTACTGAGTATTGAATTACCCCTTTTGTTATGGGTTTTATAATACAAACCATTTATAAACAAATATCCCTTTCATCTATTTCAGAGTACTGGAATTTTTCAACACCTCTGCCGAGGATTACCATGTGATCTTCACGGCGAATGCCACCGCTGCTTTGTCCCTGGTGGCGGAAAATTTTGACTTTGGATCATCGGGAGACTTCCACTTCTGTCAGGAGAATCACACTTCGGTGTTGGGAATGCGAGAACGGGTCCGGGCGAATGGTATATACATGCTCAAGGAAAATGAGATCTCTGGCGGATTTGCCAATGAAAATGGGAGAGTTCAGGAAAGAACTTCCACGATAACTGGGAACTCCCTGGTGACCTTCTCCGCCCAATGCAACTTCAGTGGCTACAAGATCCCACTGGTCGCTATTGAAAATATCCAAAACTATGGTTTGCCCAAGCCGGGAAAACATATTTGGGGTTCTAAAGGGGAGGAAAAAGATAATTCCCAGAACAATTACTATGTCTGCTTGGATGCAGCCTCTTTTGTGGCCACTAGTCCTTTGGATCTATACAAATACCAACCAGATTATGTGTGCATTAGTTTCTACAAGATCTTTGGCTATCCCACGGGTGTGGGAGCCCTGTTGGTCAGTCGCCGAGGAGCGGAGGCCTTTGGAAAGCGCCGCTTTTTTGGCGGCGGTACCATCAACTATGCATATCCCCATGCCATGGACCATCAGCTGCGGGAGACCTTCCACCAGCGCTACGAGGATGGCACCCTGCCGTTTCTCTCCATTGTCGGACTGCTCGAGGGCTTTCGCACGCTGAATAGATTGGTGCCTAGAACTTCCGCTGTAGTTGGCACCATGGAGAGAATTTCCAGGTGACTAACTGATGATATGCTAAGAAACTAACAAAAATTAATGATCATTTCCGAACATTTCCATTTCCAGGCACGTTCATGGCTTGGCGCAGTATTTGGAAGATCAGCTGAAGCAACTTAAGCATTCCAATGGTGAGCCCCTCATCCAGCTGTACAATAAGGTGGGCTATCAGGAAAAGTCCCGACAGGGAGGCATCGTCGCCTTCAATGTGCGCACGGAATCGGGATCCTTTGTGGGATTCGGTGAGATAGCCTGCGTGGCTGCTCTGCATGGGATCCTCCTGCGAACAGGATGCTTCTGCAACATCGGAGCCTGTCAATTTTACCTTGATCTCGACGAGGATGCCATGGATGCGATTTACAAGCGGGCTGGACGCATATGCGGTGACTATTTTGACCTGATCGATGGTCAGCCGACAGGAGCGGTACGTGTGTCCTTTGGCTACATGACCACCATTCAGGACGTGGAGAAGCTGCTCGAGATGTTGCGCTCCAGTTATTTGGCCACTAAGCCGCAGCAACGGATTCAGTTCATCGAAGATCAGGCGGAGCAATTGCCACCGGTGCTCAAGGAGCGAGTCCAGATGTTGAGGCCGAAACTCCTCCAGATGGCCATATATCCGGTGAAGTCCTGTGCTGCTTTTAAGATCGAATCGCAGGGATCATGGCCACTGACAGAGCAGGGTCTGAAATATGACCGCGAATGGATGATAGTGGACATGAATGGCATGGCGTTGACCCAGAAACGCTGCACGGAATTGTGCCTGATTAGGCCAGTGATTAAGGTTGACCAGTTGGAGCTGCAGTTCGGCGATGGTTCCTCTGTCTCAGTGCCCCTTTCCGTGGAGGATCAGGCGGCCGACTCGGCGAAGTGTGTCAGCAAGGTGTGTCGCCAGCCTGTGGAAGGTTTAGATTGCGGCGAAGAGGTTGCCCAGTGGCTATGCCAATGTTTGGGCTTGGAGGGCCTTCGATTGCTTCGGCAATCGGGCCAGAGAAACTCTTCCAAGGATCAGCAGAAGCTCAGTCTGGTGAATCAAGCTCAGTTCTTGTTGTTGAACAGATCTTCCGTGCGATCCCTTCAATTCGAGGAGCCCCTCGACGAGACTGTGGATCGTTTTCGGGCCAATATTATCATCGATACGGGTTGCGCCTTCGAGGAGCTCGCCTACACGGCCCTCACCATCGGTGGCATCCACTTCCAGGTGGAGGGTCCTTGTCAGCGCTGCGATATGATCTGCATTAACCAAAGGACCGGCGAAAGATCGCCGGAAACCTTGACCACGATTTCTCGCCTACAAAGTGGTCGCATGCGATTCGGAATCTATATCACCAGGATCACCAAGGACTTGGAAGCTCAGGAGAATCACATGACCTGCGGCGATGTTGTCCTGGTGGAGTAGGCTCTTCGCACGACACATAGCCGCATAAATACTTCAGTTTTCATACCAAAAATACGGCTAGACTATTTTTAAAAGCAGTTTTTAATTAGTTTTTGAATATCTGCTAAACATATTTTTCTCACTTCTTTTTGGGATATTTATCGTTTGATAATGTTCGACTGTGGTTTAATATTCTCATATTAGACTTTGCATCACATAACTTCGTTAAGTTTAAGTAAGAAAGTATCAAGAAAACTATATTTTTACGCAAACATTCGCGCTTAGCTTAAGCTCAATGTAACCGGATACCTCTTGCCAGTGTCTTAAGCCTTAAAGGCCTCAATTGCAAAATAAACACATTTAAATAAATTTGTTTACACTACAGCTTTTGAGGAGGAATATCGAATTTAATTATGTTAATAAATGAAACTTCAAATCACGCGCGCAATATTTAGATAGGCAGCGGGCAGGGCTATTAACGACACATGGGAAGCATAGTAAATTGACTTGCTAAAAATAAATGAATATAAATTTTACACTATTGGCCAAAAATAAGACTCTTAGAAAATCCCAACTTTCTAACTTTAAAAACACCAACGTTATGGCTTTTCCGATTGTTCAGTTATATGGCAGCTATATGATATAGTCGCCCGATCCGGCTCGTTCCGACTTATATACTACCTGCAATAGAAAGACAACTTTTGGGAAAGTTTCAAGCAGATAGCTTTAAAACTGAGGAACTAGTTTGCGTAGAAACGGACGGACAGACGGACGGACAGACGGACGGACAGTCGGACAGACGGACATGGCTAGATCGACTCTCCTGGTGATGCTGATCAAGAATATATATACTTTATAGGGTCGGAAATGTCTCCTTTACTGCGTTGCAAACTTTTGACTGAAATTATAATACCCTCTGCAAGGATATAAAAATGTATGTGTGCAATAATGGGCTTTATGAATTTTAGAATGAAGTTAATCCAAATTTTTTAATACAATCTTTATTTATATTGCTTTTTTATTATTATTTGTTTAACCCCCTTAATTATTTAGTAGTTCAGTGTAACTAAAAACTTTTTGAATATTAATATTAAGGACATTTTAACTATAGCCTGACAACCCTGCTATCGGAATGTCTGCCTATCGATGAAAAGAAATCGCAGAGCATGACGACCTTCGCTGCGGAAATTCGCGACACTGCAATCGCGGTCACACTGGCGAGCAGAGCGGAAAAGCTGCTGTGTGGCGAAAAAACAATAAATGACACAATAAGAAGTATATTCAAAAATAAACAAAGAGTAAAAAAGAAAATATACAAAATAATATAAAAAAAACAAACCAGTTAAAGCCGCAGCAGGACTCACAGATACTAAAGGAGGGCACCCGAAAAGTATGCAGCAAAAATGTGAATAATTACTACCAAAAAGGAAGAAAACAACAACAAAGCAGCATCATCACACACGCATACTCTGTTGTTGTTATATAAGTGTGTGTGCGTGTGCGGGTGTGTGTGCTTGCGTAGTAGTAAAAATGTAGCAGAACAACAATTGCAAAAAAAACGAGACAACGAATCTAAGGAAATTTTTGATACCACAATTTTTGTTAACAAAAAAACAAAAAAAAAGGAAAGATAAGAGAAGCGAAGAAAAAAAGGAGGAAACATTAAAGAAAAGCTAAGGAAATAAGCAGCTGGCAGTCAGAGAAATTATTTGCCCCAAGAAATATACCACAAAAAGGAAAAGAGAAAGCCAGAGAAAGCGTCCATCATCCACCAATACAAATTCAAATGAACATGCTACAGAGTTTCAGCGGCGGCGACGTCAGCAGCGGTGAGTGAGAAACAGTTATTGTCCTGGTCCTGGTCCTCTTTCCCCCGCCCTTTTCCTTCATTTCTCTACACAGAGAGAAAAACTGACCGGATTTTATAATCGAAGAAAAATCGATAATTTCGAACACTTACATTGTTTATATTTATAAAATTTTTGCCAAAATTATATTTATTAATTTTTAGGAGTTCATAACAAAGTTCAGCTGCGCGGCTTGAACTAGGTATATTGTTACCAAAGCTGAGCTATTCATTTTGTTCTGTGTTCATATTTTGGCAACAACAACAGTAGCAAATACCAATTACATATCATGCATACACATGCCGAAATGCCAGAACTTCTGTCTGTGTGTGTGATTTGTTGTTGTTCTTGGCGTTGATGCGTAGAAGGTGCGAAAGTGAAATGATTTGGCGTCGTTCGCACAAGAAAAGAAAGAAAAAAGAGAAAAGAAAAAAAAGTGCAAATACAGTAGATACATAGTAAGAAGTTTGTTTTTGGGAGGCAGAAAATGTTTATATTTCTTATTTCTTCACTTAACATTACGAAACCCAGCAGGTTTAATTGTATTTCATTATACAAGTACATTAAATATCATTTCATAAAAAAGAAGGAAAAGAAAAAACAATTAAAAAAAAATATTTTGTTCGAATTTATTATACCTTCTATCAATATTAAATTTAATCTTTAACAACTAAACTAGTTCTCGCTATTATCTCATTATTTTATTTTCAAAGAAATCTTTTAAGTAGTTGTTGACTGTACATTAAAAGTTTAGGCAAGCGCAACTTTTTGTAATTGCTTCAATGAACTCGACAGGGGGTGTTATATGGAATATGGAATCCAGAATAGATACGTACACACACATGTCAGTGGCTTTGTGTATTAAGTCCAGCTCCTTGGAATCAAACTTTTTGAATAATACTCTACGATTGAGTTAACTTAAGTGGCGATTTATCATAAAAGTTAGTCGTAAAAATCTGAGTTGGCATCATTTATTTTATTTATCAAGTGCGCGTCTGTTAAACCGAACTACTAATGCATGTAATAAATACCTACACATTTAAATAACGTAGAGCTGTTTTTAATTAACTTAAGTCTCCCTCTTTTTCATTGCCATCAAAAGTAGTCCAATTAATGTCGTCTTTTTCATTGTCAAGTATGCCTGCGTTTGAAATTTTTAGCGATTAACGCTTTGTGCATTTTGTATGCCATTTTATATCGCGGCAATTATGAGACCTGCTGACCGCAGATACTAATTAAAAGGCAAAAAGGAAATCGCTGCAGGATGGCAGATTGCACTCAGGTGGATTCCAACTAAAGCTGCTCTAATTGGCATCGATTGAATAACATTTTTACCTACCCGCTGCCAATTAGGTGGAATTACCCTGACCATGCGAAATGCAAAGTTCATGGTCAATAGGTCAATTTGGCATTAATCTGCTGTTTGTCTCTGCTTTTCATCCTGCGCTTACCTTCCTGCGCAGCTAATTGGCCGTGAATATCGTATATGGAGTGTACATATCCTATATTGCGACCCTTAGTACCGGACGCAACTGATAATTGCATTACTTGGTTCGATGCGATTACGCTTTGTTAGTTCCTCGAACCACGCCTTCCTCTTACAGGCTGCCCTCTCATTTGAAAGTCATCAAATTGCCCGCCAATTAAAGTAATCAGAGAAGCGCGCACAATGTCCGGGTTTCTTTTCTCACGTTCTCACGTTCACCATTCTGTGCCTTCAGATATTCCCGTTCTGTAACAAACACTGATCAAAAATTCATTGCCTAATTCGTTTTTAATTGTTTGAGAAATTTCGCACACTTGGCCTTGACATTGAAATATGTTCAATGTGCTCTAAACGCTTTTTAACTATCTGAGAAATAAAGCACCTTTTTCAACAAAACCCCATTCTTCGAAAAAAAATTCTGTCAGATTATAAAATTCAACTATTCCAACATTCAAGAAATACACTATTTCTTTTCAAAATCTTATTACAATATCAAAATTTGTCTTTGTGTATTCTCTGGCTGCTATGCCGCTGCCAATTAATAAGGCGTATAATATTTATGACATTATTAAGGAGTCCTTGAAAAATAGAAAAAATACAAACATACACAGTAGGGATATGCATTGAATAAATTACGATATTTTGTGTAATAATATGTATGTCTTACCAGGTGTGATTTAAGAGATATTTGATTTACGTATGAGTAATAATACATGAAGTATTCGCACTGTTGCATTTACAAAGATAATTAAAAATAATGAATATGAGATAATTTGATAAGATTAAACATTTTAATTTACTTACACTTAAAGTGTGTAATTAATTTTGATTAATTTAAAATAATATAATTTATAATAGGTTCAAGAATAGAACAAATCTTTGAAGTTCTGCCTGCACAGTAAATATCAGTGTAAAAGTAACCTTTTACTGGCAAAGGTTCAGTTTTACTACTCTAAATGCCAAACAAATAAATCCCCTTGCAATCCCATTTGTGCGATCTTTCGTCTATTAAATCCCCGTTTTATTTGTTGTTTTTCCCTGTGCACACACTCGCACACATGCTCGTGAACGTGTGTGCTGCGTCTTTTGTTGGGTAACAAACATATGTTTGAGCAATATGGCTGCCCTGGCATGGGATCTAATGATGTATGTGTGTGTGTAAGAGGGACCCTCCCATGTCTTCGTTGTTGTTATTGTGTTACAGGGAACAAATTAAAGAGGGAGCACACACACACCTACGTGTAAATTTGCCATCCCTCTCTGCAGAGAGAGAGTACAGAGAAAGGGAGAAAGTGAGGCATCACCATTCAGCGTCTCATTTGTCGTCTCTTTTTGCCCTATGTCCTGTCATCAGCTGTTTTATGTTGTTCAGGGTCAAGTGTGTGCGTGTGGGTGCACGACTGTGCATGCTTGGGCGTGTGTATTGGTAGCGTCGCAGGTGTTGCCGCTGCCTAGCCCTCTCTCTTTCCTTCTCTTCCGTATCGGTCTGTTGTTGTAGGTTAGAATTCAAGGAAGTTTTTTAACATCCAGTCAAGGTTACTATGCGACACATACACCACATACACACACTCGCTCACCCCCTGCTTGTTGCAATGTTTCACACCAATTGCAGCGCGAATTGAAAATAAACAACTTAGTGCATGTGTCGATGTGCCCGAATACACTTCGCATTTTCCTGCCGCCTCCTCGCGCATTTAAAATGTGGTTTTTACGGGCCAAGTCCGGTATGTTTTATAGTTTGAAAGTGTCAAATAAATAGAGATGAAAATATTAACCAATTAATTGTTTTTTTTATGTTTGCAACAATTAAAATGTGTAAATAACATACAAATTTTATTTGAAACCATTTTCGGTATGTTGAATTCCTTGAAACTAATTTAGTGAACAAACTTTTAGGTAATTTCTTTGTAAATAGCTTATTTTATTGAAAAGTTTTACCATCTGTATAGGTGGGATATTAAATTATAATCATCTCAGTGAAGGAGAGATCTTCTAGACCATATAAAGTATATATATTCTTGATCAGCATCACTAAGAGAGTCAATCTTGCCATGTAGTTTCTCTAAATTTAATTCCATTTTTTAAAAGTGCAGTTTAAAAATGTTTGTTTTTTAATTAAAAAAATAATGTCCCTTTTTTCTTAAAAAATTATTATTATTACATTATTACATTAAAAAGTAGGTATTTACTTTTAGCATGAAATTAAATTGGTAAAATTGTTTTATATAATTTCCTAAACGACCGGAAGCATTGTTTTTTGAAGCTGAAGCGTTGCCGCTTTTCACTGTTTACAAAACTGTTGCAATATCTTGAAAAGTTTTCCTTATCGATTTTGGTCCTGCTCGTTCCCCAAGATCCGGGTCTGGGCTCCGATGTCCTGGGTCCTGGGCACTTGGTCCTGGACATTGCCGGGCCATGTCACGTAGCGGCGTAAATCCTTTATTTCCATTATAATTAGAAGCGAGCCCTGCCCTTCGTCTTCCTCGCTCTCATTTTCCTTCTTGGGGTTCCCCACTTCGTGGTCGTTTTATCCTATTAGCATATTTGTATACAGAACAATGCCAGGACATTTACATGCGTGTACAGAACTTCAAGATTCTAATAAATATCAATAGAAATATAATACAAGACTTCTGTTGACAGATTTTTTTTAATTTTCACTTGTTAAATTTAGACGCGCAACAAGTTACCAAGTATACTAAATTGGATTATTGTTTAAATAAAATACATATAATTTTTGTCTTTACCGATTATCATTTTAAGATTAATAAGTTTCTTAATATTCGTTGGAAATATAGACCAAAAAGTTTTTCAACAAGTCCATGGTAAATAATAGTTTTCAAATATTATCTTTTTTTTATACATTTTTCTTGACTATTAATCATTCAAGGAAATATATGTACACCTAAATATTTCGAGTTTTGGGAAACTTCCTGATCAAAAAACTGTATACATCACGCATACGCACTGTGTGCGTCCATACATTTATGTAGCAATAAATGTTGGTATATGGGGGCAGTGAAGCATAGGGACGATTTTGTGCAGAGAAGCAGACAAAACAAAAATTGACAGCGAAGACAAAATGATTGACGTCGGTCGGTGGACTCCAAGAGCAAACGCAATCCCAGACGAGTTGGGGGCAGGACATTGGGCTTGGGCACTGGGCACTGGGCACCAGGATTCGGTGGGATCGAAGGGCATGTGCAATCAATCAAAGCATATTTATCGGGGCTCTCTTACGAGTGCTCTGTGGGGAAATAAAAAATGGGAGTGGACGTGTCATGTCGGTCGTTAGAAGAGGTCCTGGGATTATCAATAACCACACGAAGGCAAATAAGTAACTTCCAAATACGTGGACACAAATGTCTTTCGGGCTTGTTGCCCCTTTAGATTTACAATTTACTTTATTTTTAACATCCTGGCGCCACAAGTTTGGTAAAACTTGTCTTTAAGGAGCTAGTCACAAAGACCAATTTCTAGTAAAATGCAACAAAAATCAATAATTAATTATTAATCTAGACAAACAGACTTAATTCATATTACGCAGTACAAAAATTTAACTTAACATGAGACTTAATGATTATGTCAGAAATAATTAATTTATTAAGATTTTGTCATGTTTTATTACTATGTCATTCTTTTTTTTTTGTAGGTTCTTTTTTATTTTTATCGTTGATTTATGTAGTAAGGTGAAAACTTGAATTTTTTATTGTGCTTTTAATAAAATGTATTTTATGCGAAAAATGATTTCTTAAAGTTACAGATATAAATACTGATATAAAACTTTTTCTCGTTGGCAGACAACATTATATCGCTAGACCTTATTTAAAAGAATATTTTTAACATTCCCAAAGAGAGTGCTATTTTATTAACTTAAAAATAACGAAAACTTCTTATATTTTTATACCCTTGCAGAGGGTATTATAATTTCAGTCAAAAGTTTGCAACGCAGTGAAGGAGACATTTCCGACCCTATAAAGTATATATATTCTTGATCAGCATCACCAGGAGAGTCGATCTAGCCATGTCCGTCTGTCCGTCTGTCCGTCTGTCCGTCCGTCTGTCCGTCCGTCTGTCCGTCCGTCTGTCCGTCCGTCTGTCCGTCCGTCCGTTTCTACGCAAACTAGTCCCTCAGTTTTAAAGCTATCTGCTTGAAACTTTCCCAAAAGTTGTCTTTCTATTGCAGGTAGTATATAAGTCGGAACGAGCCGGATCGGGCCACTATATCCTATAGCTGCCATATAACTGAACGATTGGAAATGCCATAACTTTGGTGTTTTTAAAGTTATCAAGTTGGGATTTTCTATGGGTTTTATTTTTGGCCAATCAATCCGACCTACCAAATTACATAAGGATCGGCCGACTATATCCTATAGCTGCCATATAACTGAACGATTGGAAATGCCATAACTTTGGTGTTTTTAAAGTTATCAAGTTGGGATTTTCTATGGGTTTTATTTTTGGCCAATCAATCCGACCTACCAAATTACATAAGGATCGGCCGACTATATCCTATAGCTGCCATATAACTGAACGATTGGAAATGCCATAACTTTGGTGTTTTTAAAGTTAGGAAGTTGAGACTTTTTATGAGTATTAAGAATACACCATATGAATAATTTTGAAGAATATAATTTACAGAATATTCTGCAAGGGTATATCAACTTCGGCTCCGTCCGAAGTTAGCTTTCCTTTCTTGTTAATAGCGTAAAATAGTGATATTATTATTTCACACAAATCTGTACATTAAGTGACTAGAATTCCCATTTGTTGACCTTTTCCAGCGGAGACCGAACTGAAGGAGCGGCTGATAGCCAGCGTGAAGAAGGAGGTGAAGCAGCTGATGGAGGAGGCGGTGACCAAGAAGTACGTCCACGAGGAGAGCAGCTCGGTGACCTCGCTCTGTGGCGCCGTGGAGGCCTGCCTGAGTCATGGTCTGCGGAGAAGGGCCCTGGGATTGTTCAAGACCTCCTCGACGACGGCGCTGATCCAGAAGATAGCCAAGATCTGCCCGGAGGCGGACTACGTCAGTCGCCGTCTCCTCGAACTGGAACTCGCCCAGGAGTCGAATGCGGTTAGCGGCAAGCGCTCCTCCTCCAGCAGCGATAGCATCATCAAGCCGAAGCTCTTGAGCAAGGGCAGCGGGAGCAGCAATTCGGTGACCACCATCAACACGGTGTCCAATGGCGTGGGATCGGGATCCGGTGGTGGAGCAGGGGGAGGAGGGGTCATTACCCCATTGGGCAAGTACCTGTGGATCCGACTGGCCCTGCACGAGAAACGGCTGGCCAAGATCATCGAGCATTTGGTTAACAACGCCAGCAGCTATTACGACCGCGAGGCGCTGGTCGCCGATCCGGATTATGGCTCCATCCTGAGCTCGCTGCTGGTGGGTCCTTGTGCCCTGGAGTTCACCCGGGCCAAGACCGCCGATCACTACTGGTCCGATCCCTGTGCCGACGAGCTGGTGAGTGTTCTTTCCCCAAAAAGGGGCAAAAAAGTTAGGTGGTAAATCAAGAAAGGGGCCCAGTTTCAAACAAAATAACATATTTTTGATACAGGCTCACACTTTTATATATATTTGAGTTTTAAATGTTTTGTTTTATGTTTAAAAGTTATTCATTATTTTATAACGATCCTTTGGTTGTTACCTTGAGGAGTTAATAAATAAACTTATCTATATTTATTAATAATATCTTTAAATATTAATTTTAAAACGGTTTTAGTCCATTTAAATTGGGGTAAAAAATAAGGATATAACTAGGTTATTTAGAAATTCCTAAATTTTGTTTTTTTTAATTTTCTTTTTAGTGGATAACTTTTGTAAAACTCAGAAAATACTTTTATTATGTTAGAAAAGTTTTTTAAATATACCCATTTGATGTGGAGTTTTTGTAATATAATTTTTTGAATCTATGAAAATCTGTTGGGTAAAAAAATGCCTGACCATATATCCCTATAATCTCCCTCCACCCCAGGTGCAGCGTCACAGGATCAGCTCGGGCAACCGGACGCCGCCCACCACCCACCGGCCCATCATCAATTTCAAGCGCAGCCTGCACACCAGCTCGGAGGACACGAGCAGTGGATCCTTCAAGGCCAGCTCGCCGGCGAGCGTGGCCAAGGACTACGTGGAGTCGCTGCACCAGAACTCGCGGACCACTCTGCTCTACGGGAAGAACAACGTGCTGGTGCTGCCCAAGGATGTGTCCGAGCCGATGCCAGGATATCTCAGTCTGCACCAGAGCATCCAGTCGCTGACGATCAAGTGGACGCCGAACCAGCTGATGAACGGCTACATCGATGGCGATGGCGGCGACAAGAGCTTCTACTGGAGCTATGCCCTTAACATCAATGTGGATGAGATCGTCTATGTGCACTGTCACCAGAATCGAGGAGGCGACACTGGCGGCACCATCATCCTGGTGGGTCAGGACGGTGTCCAGCGACCGCCCATCCATTTTCCCGAGGGCGGACACCTCCAGGCGTTTCTCAGCTGCTTGGAGACGGGCCTCCTACCACATGGCCAGCTGGATCCGCCATTGTGGTCGCAGCGAGGGATTGGCAAGCTGTTCCCCTGGCCGAAAAGCGTGAGGAGACACATCCTGCCGTCGGTGATGGAGGCAGGAGCCTCCACCGCCGATGAGACGCCCATTGACTATGTGTTCCGCGTGGTCAGCAAGTGCCAGCACGAGGAGTTCCGTAAGTACAGTTGGCCAGGAGGTAGCTACTCTTGTGATATCCCGTTCCTCTCCCTTCCAGTGGCCAGCCATCCGATCCTGGAGCTGGGGCGATCGAGTCCGCGGCGGAAGCATTTGGGCAGCTGCTCCACCACCGGCAGCAGCGATTGCTCCAGCAAGAGCCTCTCCATCGACCAGAGCAGCTGCGAGACGCCCCTGATCCAGGCCAGCCAGAGCACCAGCATCGAACTGGTCTGCTCCACGATGCGGAGGCAGATCATCTCCAGGGCCTTCTACGGCTGGCTGGCCTACTGCCGCCACCTCTCCACGGTGCGGACCCACTTGTCCGGCCTGGTCAACGGTCGCATCATGCCGGATCGTAAGTCTCCTTTTTTATTCTGAAAAATCTCATTTATTAGATTTCCATAATGACCACTATCTAAGGGGAATCCCACCTAAATGCATATTAATATTTTAATTATATATATGTTTCTTTATTTATAAATATATTTATTTATTCCCCCATTGGTTAAATATACTTAAGTGATTATGTTTAACGTATTAATTATATTTATACCCTAAAACAGTGGTCAAAGAACCTTAAAAAATGAACTACAATTTATATTACTTTTATTTAAGGAGCTTTATAATCTAACAGGCTCTCCAGATTTAAAGATCTAAACCTAGTTTTCTTTTAAATAGACATGATTGAGAAACTGATTTGATATTTAGTTTATTGAATATTATAGCCCAATTTTCCCTTCCAGTGGCTGCGGATGAGGAGGGCCTGACGCGCGAGAAGTGGCTGGCGATGCACGAGGATGGCGTGGTCAGTGGCGAACTGGAGCTCTATCGCCTGGTTTACTTCGGCGGCGTGCAGCCCGACCTACGCAAGGATGTGTGGCCCTATCTCCTGGGGCTCTATGCCTTCGGCTCCACGCCGGAGGAGCGGAAAAAGCAGGACGAGACCTGCAAGCACTACTACGAGACGACGATGAGCGAGTGGCTGGCGGTGGAGGCCATCGTGCGTCAGCGGGAGAAGGAGAAGACGGCACTGGCCGTGGCTAAATTGAGTGCCGAGCAGGCTCGCCTGGCGGCCAATGCCTCGAGCGCCCTCAATCCCCACCAGAAACTCACGAACGGCAGTCGCCAATTGGAGTTGGAGCAAAAAAATGGCGAGGAGGATCAAGAACATCTAATCTTGGATGAGGGCGAGAACGATGTGTTTGATGACAATGACTTTTCGGATATATCCGATCCAGGGGATCTGTTCGACGAGCCGGAACTGGGCCAGGAAGCCGAGGAGCAGGAGCAGGAGCTGGAGCTGGAGAACGCAGAGGAGAAGGTCTTGGAAAAGCAACAGGATCAGGAAGAACTTGGAATGCCGCGACTCAGCGAGCAACTGGTTCTGGAATTCCAGAACATAGACAACATGGAACCGCTGCGTCTGCAGGAGAACTGTTTCGCCGATTCCGAGAACGAAAACGATCTGGGATTTGGTCTGGACGGAAGCGGCAATATCCTGATGCTGAGCATCAAGAGCTCGCCCTCAACGAGCAGCTATGAAACGGTGGGAAACGAATTCGTGGACATGGTGGAGGGCAAGCTGGAGGAGGAGGAGCCGCCGGGAGAACTAAGCAAGTTCCACAGCGCCGACGATGTGAGGCTGGATAACCAGGAGGAGGAGGAATCATCGCAGCCGGCCACTGCGGTGATAATAACAGAGGCGGCTTCGCTAGACGCTTTGGACGACGATCCCACCGAGGAGTTGACATCGAGGAAGACCAGCCTGATGTCGCCCCTCAACGAGGACATCACGGTGGTGGCCTCACTGGACGCTCTGCAGGAGCCCAAATCTGCCTGCGTCTCGCCGGCGAGCTCCAATGGCGGTGTCTACAGCGTGGAGCTGCTGGAGCAGTTCGGGCTGAATCTGCACCGGATCGAGAAGGATGTGCAGCGGTGCGACAGGAACTACTGGTACTTCGCCAACGAGAACCTGGACAAGCTGCGCAACGTGATCTCCACGTACGTGTGGGAGCACCTGGACGTGGGCTACATGCAGGGCATGTGCGACCTGGTGGCTCCGCTCCTGGTCATCTTCGACGACGAGTCGCTCAGCTACAGCTGCTTCTGCAAGCTCATGGAGCGCATGATCGAGAACTTCCCCAGCGGCGGGGCCATGGACATGCACTTCGCCAACATGAGGTCCCTCATCCAAATCCTCGACTCGGAGATGTACGACCTGATGGACTCCAACGGCGACTACACGCACTTCTACTTCTGCTACCGCTGGTTCCTGCTCGACTTCAAGAGGGAGCTCGTCTACGACGACGTCTTCGCCACCTGGGAGGTGATCTGGGCGGCCAAGCACATCGCCTCCGGCCACTTCGTCCTCTTTTTGGCCCTGGCCCTGCTGGAGACCTATCGCGACATCATCCTCTCCAACAGCATGGACTTCACCGACGTCATCAAGTTCTTTAATGGTAAGAAGTAATACTTAATACTCAATACTCTAATAAAATCTAAATTATTGTGATTTTTGCAGAGATGGCGGAGCGTCACAACGCCCAATCAATCCTGCAGCTGTCTAGGAGCCTGGTCCTCCAGCTGCAGACCATCATTGAGAACAAGTAAACAGAGGCGGAGGAGCCATCGTCATCAGTCATCCATCGTCATTTCCTGGAGACCTCAGTTCCCGATCAGTATTGAGCATGCGATGTACTTTGTAGCTAGCACCTAGAGCATAGAATCGTTGAATCTGAGTTAGAAAGCGCTTAGGGATACATAACCATACGTAGAGCATATTCCATATACCATAAACCATATACCATATACCAAATACCATATACCAAATAGCATATAACATATAACATACCTGCACCCTAGAGATTGCAATTAGCTGAGGCTCTCGTTGAGGTTTTTTTGGGAGGCTTTCCGTAATCCGCAATGGTTTTTTTTTTGGAAACGGCTGGGAATCGCTTAAAGAAATTTAGCAAAATTAAGGAAATTGTAGTGACCTGAAAAACAAAAGAGAGGAAATCAAGTGGAAATCGAACAACGTAAAAGATAAACTATTTATACTTATACAATATACATGCATATACCGATTATATTATATACAGGCAGTTGCATATTTATGCGTTTTGTATATTCGAGAGAACCAGGGGGGGGAGGGTGGATCATGTATATGGATATTGTGCTAGATATCGTCTATATATGGCAATCAATGCTGTGCGGCTGCGACTGCGGCCAATTGTTGTTAATGTTATGTTATTGATTTGGCAAGTAATCGGATATATTATATATACACACCTTTATTGAAAGATATTCAGGGGAAGACGTAGAAAAGCTCTAGGAAGGTGTCTTAAATTTTGTAAAATTAAACATTTCGATGATTGATATTGATATCGTTTTAAAATCTGTATAAATATGAATGCATTGGTTTCCTTTTCAGGAGATTTAAAATCTTTAGAGCTTTTCTATGGCACCCCTGAATCAAATTGCAATTGTTCGCTTGGTCGGTTTGGTTAACTCCTATTTTTCATTTGTAGCTGCAAGCGGTGAGAAAACATTTTGTATTCGAGATACCCGACAGGTGGATCCTGGGGAAATATCTCTATAGGTGAATCGAACAATTGCCGACACACACACAAAACCCAAGAAAAAAAAAAACAAAATACCCACAGAAAAATGTTACGAAATTTGTTGTTGACGGCTGCGGAACATTGTGTTTGTTTGTATTAGCAAAATTAGTATGCAATCCAATATATAATGATATATATTAAAACAATATTTATACAAATACCTATTAACCCAAACATAAATATAGAGAACGGAATGTGTTAGCCGTGTATTGTTATAATCGAACCCGATTCGTTGCTATTCTCAGGCAAAAAAAACATAGTTTCTATCCCGTTTTTCGTTGTTTTTTGGTAAGTGCAGGCGCACCAAAAATCCCTCCACTGGGCTTATATACAACTTATATAGAACTATATAGAGCAAACACTTTGTGTGGAATCTAAGTTAATGCGAGTAGCACGCTTTTTGTGTATGGAAAAAAAAACGTCGAAAAACGAAAAACCAAAAAAATACTTAATGTGATTTCTTGTTGCTTCTTTGAATATTGATATTTTTGTAAACGCTAAAACGTATATAGATATATACACATAACGAAAGAGAAGGAGATGACAAGCAACAGAAAGAGACGGGGAATGGGGGAGAGGGTAGAGGAGAGCGAGAAGATATATTTTACACTTGGATGGGAAAAGGAGGGGGATACGAATGACAGTCGAGTCCAACCAAAATTTTGGCCACATTTTTGATACACATATTCGACAAAAGATCTACTGATCCACCACGATGAACAAAAAAAAACAACAAAGAACTAAAAACCCGTAGAGCAAGGCAGGAACTCTCGCTATATTATATTGTATCGTAATCAAACTAAGCTACATATATATTTATACCCGTCTGTGTAGAGACGCCACCTATAGAGCCCGAGCATATAGAATATTACGTTACCCACGATTGTAACCACATATAGCATACGCATGAATATTACGGATATCTTATGTTCCAAGCGAAACCACATAAAAAAGCCCGAAAAAAAACGAACGATCAATGTATAATTTACCGAAACCATGTCGATGAAAACAAAATAAAAGGAATTATGTAAAATGTTTACAAGAAAACAATCCGTTATTTTTGTCATAGTTTAATAACGTTTATTTGTGTATTTCGATCTTTGGCGGATCACAAGAACAATAGAGATACATTTCATTTTTGCAGCTTAAAAATTAGTCTTTAACTAAATTTAAACTTAATTTAAAACTTAACATTTTTATTTACTTAACATTGTTTAACTAGGTGCAAAAAACATGCCTTATTTAATGGAGATTTTATCGTTAAAAATTGAAAGCTTCAAGTGTAAAAAAAAAAATTTTTTTGCTTAAAAGGTTGAAAAAGTTTTACAGTTTTATGATTCCATCAAAGGACATAAAAAATTAGCATTGCAATCAATTTGATTTTACATTGCCTACTTTTAAGGGCTGTTTATCTTGCTTGAGTGGTTTTCTTTTTAATTTAAAGGAAAACCCTTTTGTTAAGTTAGTTATAATTTAACAACATATTTGGTCAATACCAAAAGAAAGTCATTTATTTATTCATTAAATTTTCTCTGTATTCATACATTTTGCCATAAATTGTTGGTGAAATATTTCTTGTGCGGTCATTTGGAAGTTTCTAAAAATGCAACATTCCACTTACTTTACCAAATCCCCCCTGGAAAGCAGCTCTCATCCTGTTTCCTGCCGCCATCCGTACGGAAATATTGCTGCTGTTGCACAGCTGGATGCTGGATGTTGGATGCCCGTGCCCCAAAAATACAAATTCCTGGGCAGGATTCCCGCTTTGGCAACACTGAAATTCACTTTGCCTGCACCTGAGACCATCATTGAGGAATATTTCGGTACACACGAATACACAGTGAGCAGGTTATGTTAGGGCACTCCAATGCCGCCAGCGGGGGGTGGTGGATGGGTGGTGCAGGGGTGGTGCAGGATGTAAGGATGTGGGTTACATGGCCAGGGCGCAAACTCAATGCGAAGCAACAGTGGATCACGAATTACAACGAAATGTTTTCATCTAAATTTGGGGCAGAGTTGTAAGCATGGTTGGGGGTCCTTTTTTTTTTGGAGGGAGGGCAGTGCGCCCGGGTGGATAGGGGGTGGGGTAGAAGGAAAGGGGGGGGATGAGGGGTTCGCGCTCAGCAGGGCATTTTGGCATGATGTCCTGTTGCTTGTGGCTGGATTTTGCGCTACACAGCCAGCGACTTCTACGTCAGCAAACTGCCAGCTCACATACACAAGCACACACACACAAAAACACGGAAAGAACACAGCAGCGGTCATAACAATAGTTATATTACAAGCACACAAATTTAAATACATTTGGTAGGTTCTCGTTTTGGGCACCTATGTTATAGACTCTTCGATTTATAGTCCGTCTGTTTATTAATTCTATTTTCTTTAAGTTGTATTCAGTTATGTGACTTACATCTTTCGACAAACTTTTCTTTTGATGATTTATCCTATAACTTTAATCGTTAGTCTTAACACTCTTGTCAACGAGTTAGAAAGGTTTACGAAATCAATTAAAATATCAATAGCAGTGAGTTAAGATAATAGACTATTTCTCAAACACTATAAATTTCTTTCTCTAGGTTATACAAAATATAAAATATTTATTTTAATTTTGACCTCGTCTGTGCGTGTGTGTTTGTGTGTGCGTTGCCCTCAAGTGTGAGCGAGACGGGAGAAGTGCGAAAAGCTTTCGAAACGAAAAGTAAGGGAAAAGGTGCGATGGAGAGGGGGAGGTGTGGGGTATTAGCTTCGATGTGTCACTGTTGTTGTTGCTGCTTTACATGCTGTTGTTGTGCATGTTGCTGCTGTAACATCAGTGTTGGCAGTCTTCTACAAAAAAAAACAGCTGGTTTTTACAAGATAGGATTTAATTAAAAATCGAAAAAGATATCAGGCAATCTAGTTATAAAAACAAATGCCTTTTTAAAATTTATTGTTTATAACATAAGCTAAGGCCTATACACAAAATGATCTGCCGTTTAAACTTCCTCTATCATTTTTTTCGATCTTCTTTAATTCAATTAAATATTTACACATTTTTTTTACAACATTTTGGTTTTTATTTTTAAATGATGTTATAAAACGTGCGTTTAATGTTAAATTAATACATAACGTAATATTAAATAATTGTTTCTTGACTTTATGTTTAACTAAAAAAGGTTTTACTTTTTAGGAAATAATAAGGTATTTTTAAGTTTAAATCTAGAAAATTATCGTAAATATAAAAAAAATTTTAATTCTGTCAAATTCTATGGCTTACAGCTAGGTTACATTTCAAAATATTTATATCTGTAATTATGGCTCCCGCCATTGCTGTTTGCACTGATGTTGCCGACTGTTAAGTCTCATGTTGATGCCGCCGATGTTACTGTCTTCCATTTCGGATTCAGTTTCAGTTTCCGCTTCAGTTTCGCTGCGGAGTTGGTCGCGTGCACACGACGCGCTCTGCCTGGAAAAACAAACTCCGACTAGCTGTCGAGTGTGTCTGGCCCTGTTTGTTTTTTTTTTCTGTTCTGAGTTTTCTGCGCTTAGGCCAGCGTTCAGTTGGTCAGTGAGTCAGTAGTGAGTCAGTGGTGAGCCAGTGAGTGGACGAGTCCAATGGCGAGCGTATCTGCCCCACCACCCCCAACGGCGGCAGCCAAATTATTTATAAAGGACAGCAACTAGTAGGGCGGAAAGGGAGGCAAAGCGTGGAAAAGCGAGGAAAAGCAAGGAAAATCGAGGAAAACGCAGGCTGCCACAGGCGACACTTTGCTCTCTGCTCGGCGTCGGCATACGCAAAACAAATACAAATTTTCGAAATACATTTCACGCGCGCGTGAAGAGGAGCGGAATTACGGCGAAAAGCTTTGGGCAATCTCCGCAAGCCCCAAACACACGCCCACTCGCATCCAGAACGCAACTCCTGTGAAATGGTGCAAACCAGTGCAGGTAATAAAAGTGATCGCCCCCCCACCCCCTACACCTGCCTTCTTCCTCATAAAAAACCCCAAAAAGCCCCCAAAAATTATACATCGGCAGGGTGTCTAAGGTACATTTTTGATACATTTTCCAACTGCCTACTTTTGAGATAAAACTTCCTTTAACGAGTCATGAAATCCTCTCAGAGAGCTAAGGATATTTCTACATTACACAGTTAGTGTCTTAAAAAGGTAAATCAACCTTATTCTGTGGCTGCCTTTCACTTAAAAGTGCATTGTTATCAAATTTATAACCCAATTTAAAGATCTTAAATATATGTCAACTAAATTATTAATTCATTTGTAAAGCAAACACATTTTTATTTATATATTTTAACTATAAAGTCACAAAAGCATATGACACAAAAATTTTGAAATTTAATTTTCTAGTAGATGTTTTTCAATGAAAACTAACACTTTCAAATATTATCAAAATTTACATTTCTATAAACTTAAATATTATATATTAAATATTGGTGCAAGCTAAGAAAATGCAGCGAATTAATAATTGGAAACGATTTAGCAAGCATTATTTTAAATTCATATAGTTTAACAATTGTAAGCACGGACAACGGGGCGTATGAGTAATACGCATTAAAACCCCTTAGCTGTCATTATTTAAGCTTTAGTACAACGACGCAGTTTTCATTTATTACGAATGGTAAACAATGTCTGCAAACCAAAGAGTACAGCTTGATTTAAAAAAATTATGCAAATGTGTGACTGCGTACGCCACAGGTTCCTTTACAAAAAAAACGAACAAATTATTGAACAAATATTTATATCTGATAATACTGGGTACTGTTTAATATTTATTTTCCCAAACATATAAAAAGGTATGCAAAAGAACTCATATTATTTGTTTATAATATTTAAATACACTATGTTTTATTGACTTTAGCAGATAGTTAAGAAGATTTTGTTCACAATGAAACTAAAATTGTGGACGGTAAGAATTGGCTTTGTTTTTGATCACATATTTGAACCAGATATAGATGGCAATAATAACTGTATTTCGATTATTTTATTTTATTTTAACTACGATACACCCTAGTGAAAGAAATACACACGTGTGCCAGATAATTCCAGCAGTCGACCATCGCTATTCATATTTCATAATTTCGAAAGAATTTCGTGACTCCGCCCGCGCGCATCGGCTAAAGCGATGAAAGCTCCATGCAAATATATATATGTATGTCGAATATATGTATATATATCTGCATATGTATAATTCATTCAGGTGTGCAGGACGTGTGCAGGTTTATGCCAAGTGGGTTGTGGCTGGGTAGTGGGTTGTGGTTTGAGTGTGAGGGGTTTCTGCATTTCCCGGTAATCCTAATCCCTGGCAATCAATGCAAAGCAACTGCTTTAACTGGGCACACACACACAGTCAAGGACACGAAAGTAGCACGGCCAGGCAATTTACTCTGCTCCGCCTTTTTTCATCGCACAATTTATCCGTGTGCGTTTGGGATAAGCCCCATTTCAGTGGATGGATTACAAGTATTTTGCCTTCACAGCAAGTTCTCATAATTTGATTAAAGCAACAGGTAAACTTTGCTAAATTGCTTTCATAATTTTATTTAACATAAAATTTATAATTCAATAAGCTAAACTGCCGTTTGGCTCTGATCTTTGGCCTTTTGCGCAAGTTTCCCCATCTGTTCATAGCATATTAAGTTAGTTATTGTAAATAACGAGTAAATGATAACCCAGTGATAAACTTTTGGCACAAGTTATATTTTCACTTATGACATGAACAATTTATGGCAATATTTAATAATCTAAGAACATCTTCTGTAACTAAACATAGGCTTTTAAATAAGTGTTTAATACACAATTTATTCATTTAAGAATCTTTTTATTTAGTTAGATAATACATTTTAAAATTCTTTTTAAATAAAAAGAAAGTATTCATAAAAGGTTTGAATACAAATGTTATAATTTGGCAAAGCGTTTTCCATGGCAGCTTCTATATTTTCAATGGCAGCTGTTGAATGCTGCTATATCGGTATCTCCTGCGCCAGACGGACATCCTGCGGTTCTCTGTCCGGTCATTATACTCTCGGGAATCCGCAGTCCGTGAAGCCAGTGGTCCGGAGTTCTGGGAACGGAGTGCAGCGGGGGTTCCCCAGACATTTCTTGGCGTATAACTTTTATGAATGAACCTCGATTGGCCGCATCGATGTGGCAGCGAAATGCGGCAGTTCGAAATGGCGTGTTTCAAGGCGGGGGCGTTTGTTTATGTTTCAACTGGCCGGCCTTGCCACCCCCATTCCGCGATATTCCCGATAACGTTGAGACTTGGCCGCCTGTCGGCGCGATGTTGCTGATGATGTGGCCATCATCAATTGCTCAATTATGGCATTAGCTAAAAGCCAACAGCCATGAGCTGCGAGTTGTGAGTTGTGAGCTGTGGACTCAAGTCGGCCTCGATGAGATTGACTGGGCTGACTTCTGACTCAATGTCGCACATCAGAGTGAACCGCAACTGAAATTTCTCTATATACTCATGAAAGCTAGAAAAATAATAGATAATCCAAATGGGTTTAATAACAGAGTTAAGCATAGGAATAAATTGAATTAAAATAAATTAAAGCTAGTTTTTAAGTTTTTCACAATTGTTTGCAACATTGCCATTTTAACTAAAATATTTGTTTAAAATGAATAATAGCTTTGCTTTGGAATCAAATTGAGTTTGGGCTAAAAAAATAAAATAATTGTACTGCCTGCCCTATTACTCTACAGATTATCACCCATACGCCGTGTGGCCTACTCTCTAATGTTTAATTTAATAATGCTAATTCTTGCGCTTTTTTTTCTTCACTTGTGTTATTATTATTTTTTTTGTTTGTTCAACTTAGATAACTTACTTTATGTCCAAAATCTATAGGAGAAACAAAAATTAAAATCTTGTCCTTTGCTGTTCAACAAGTGCAAATTTTGTCGATTGACAATGGGTTTTTGAAGGGCTGCCCATTGTGCTGGTCCACCCCAAAGGACATGCGACCGTGCACTTAACGCCCCGTTGACAGTAAAAGTAACAGAGGTCAAATGGAAAGTCCTGCATGTGTGTGTGAGTGCGTCTGTGTGGCACATGTGTGTGTTAAAGCACTGGCCACAAAGTGTTGCCAACTTCTCGGCGATTTCAGGGGTTGGCTGGCACTAGGACATCATATTCCTAAGCTCATATTATTGGTAACTTATTTATTGGGCTTAAAAACTAGTTCAGTCATTTGCAATGGCTCACTTAAATTACCTTTTAAATGAATGAACATTTGAATTATTTTTAAAAACCCTAATTGGAGCTTAATTTGTTGTAGTAAAAAAATAAAATAAATCATGTTAAGTTTGAAAAAGTGATAGCTAACTATATGAGTTAATTTTGCTTTATATAAACTATATAAACCCAAGCAACTGGCCTTAAATTTGTGATTCTTGAAGTAATAACATAGAGGGTATATTTGGTGCCATAATTTACGTATTTCTGCTTCTGGCACGTCCTTATGTCTTTCATGACAAAGCCATCAAAGTGCGGGCTTACTGTCAGCGCCAGAGTCGTTATCCTGACGTGCGTGTGTCTGCCCGCCCTGCGTCCTGTCAGTGCCATTAATATTAAAGCCCTAGCTAGGATCCTTCAAAATTAAAAATCCACTGTCTGGTCATCATTAATTTCAAGTCAGCATGTTCACCACTCCCCTTTTTTAAAAGCTCTTTTCGGGGCAAACGCTCTTGACTCTACCAGTTGCTCATTTTTTTTTTTTTTGAATTCCCCGAAAGTTTGTCCTTTTTCTAGGATTTTGAGGGGCCAAGGGAGAAAGAAGCGGCGGGCTAGCAAATATCCCAAGTTCTTCAAAGAGTAGCATTCCTAAATGTCAATCAAATGCCTTGAAAAGAAATCGCATTGTTTGGCAATTCTTTATTGGACTATTAGTTGGATGGACACATGATGGGCACCTGATGGAAAATGGGTTTTAAAAATGCCGAAGCTTATGTTACAGACAGAAATCTGAGGAAACCATTAACAAAAACGGAAGACGCTTTTAAAGAATTTCTTTGCAGTAAACAATCTATATAGTTTTTATGATGACACAGAAAAGTTTAATATAAGCTAGCGTAGGATTTCCCATTGCTATTCCTTATATCCATTAGTTATTTGTATATCCATTACATACTTCAAACGGATCTACAAATGTAATTTACATTGCTGTCCCCAAAAAATTGCCAAAGTAAGCGATGTTGTCTATCCTAAAACTTTTATAATTCAGTCGGCATACTGGTGATTTAAAATTCCCTGAGACTTTGAGTTGGGTATAAAACCCCTGTTCGAAGTCAGCTTCCAGAGTAGAAGATTAAAAGAATCGATTTTGGAATGGCTGTGAATGAAATGTGACAGAAATGTTGCCTACTTTTCCGGGTAGTCCGTGCGATTGAATGAGTTGAATCAAAAGCCAAAAGTCGGAGGTCGAGTGTGGGGGCCAAAGGTCAGTGCATCTATCATGTTTCGACTATTATACAAATGACATATGCACCAATCTCTGACCTTTGCACTGCCTGCACTTGATGCATTCGCAAAAGGAAAATGGAAAATGGCACAGCTTTCCCTTAGCCTAATTAGGCATTCCGGTGGGTGTTTTGTGCCAGTGTTTGCTGATGCTGACTTTTCCTGCTTGTTAGTGCATGAATCGCAATTGTCCTTCCTCGAGATCTCTGCTTCTTCGTCCTGCGTAAGCTGCTTAAATGCCCCGTGCACATTGCTTTGCATAAAATTGACTTTAACGCCCACGGTGATGGAAAAGCTGCAAGTTTTTCCAACGCAGCGAGCTGAAGGAGAATTAGCGCAAAGTTCAGAGGTCAGCTAAGGGGGAGGAGAAGGGAGGAAAAACCCAGCGCATAACAATTTTAATTGCAAATACCAACAAATTGCATTTGCCCACAGCGTGGGCGACCAACTGCAGGCTCTTATAAGAA